GTGGACCAGTACTGACCAATATTGACCAGTACTCCTCAAAACTGCCAAGGTCATCAAAAACTAGAAGAGTCTGAAAAACTATCACAGCGAAGAGGAGCCTAAGGATACATGATGACTAAATGTAATCCTGGATGGGATCCTGGGAGAGAAGGGGGGTTAGGAAAAAATGAGGGAAATCTGAATAAAATATGGACTTTAATAATAATATATTTATATTGTAACAAATGTACCATACTAATGTAAGATGTTAATAACAGGGGAACTGAGTGCAGACTATATGCAAAAGATATAAAAGATGAGAACTTTTTGTACAATCTTCTAGAGTTTTCTGTAAATTTAAAACTGTTCTAAACAATAAAGTCTATCTAAACTTTTTTTGTTTTTTTTTTTTAAAGAACATAGGCTCTGGAGTCTGACCACCTGATTAGAATCCTAGTCTCCACTTTACTAGACTATGACTTGAGTTATTTAAATTCTCTGAGAGTCAGTTTCCCTATCTATAAGGTGGAAATACAAAAAGTATCTACCTCACAGAAGTTTTGTGATAAATGACATAATCCATGTGAAGTGCTTAGCACACAGCGTCTGCCAAATAGTAAGCACTACATAGATGGCAGCTATTATTATTATTATATTATTTTGATTCTTTATTGAATATTCAAAGACACACTTAATGTGACTTTATATTTAATTTGCTTTAGGTGATTAATAATAATTTCTAGGATAATTTTATTTCTTTTGAGAGGAAGAAAATTGAATACAACCCATTATAGACTACCTGTAAAAGGGTTTCTTTCTCAGCATATCATAAGCCTTGAAACATGTCATGGTGTGAACTGCTCCAAACAATTTAATTCAAATACCACCCTATGGTAATGTAATGAAATGACTTGTTACCAGAGGCTCTGTTACCACATCTGTAAGGTAGTATAAGTAACATTTTCAGTGTGGGCTCCTCCTTTCATTACAAAGCCATAAAAATCATAATCAACCAGAGAATGTAATACCTTGTGATTTATTATTCTTAATAACCATATGTGAAAAAAGTGATTTGAAGAATAAATGTAGAATATGTTTTTTTTTAAACTTTTTTTTTGAGGTGGCGTCTGGGTGGCTCAGTCGTTAAGCGTCTGCCTTCGGCTCAGGTCATAATCCCAGGGTCCTGGGATTGAGCCCCACATCGGGCTCCCTGCTCAGCAGGAAGCCTGCTTCTCCCTCTCCCACTCCCCCTGCTAGTGTTCCCTCTCTCACTGTGTCTCTCTCTTTCAAATAAAAAAATAAAATCTTTAAAACAAAACAAAACAAAAGAAATACAGATGGCCAACTGACATATGAAGAGACGCTCAATATCACTTATCATCAGGGAAACGCAATTTATTTGACAGAAAGAGAGCTGAGCAGGGAGCCCGATGCGGGGCTCGATCCCAGCACCCTGGGACCATGACCTGAGCCGAAGGCAGATGCTTAAAGACTGAGCCACTCAGGCGCCCCAATAGGTAGAATATGTTTAAAGATAAAAAACAATTAAGTGGAGAAGTGAAAGAGTGTGGTAAAATAACTGGTATATTAAGATGTTACTAAAGAAGAGAATTTGGCCTAAGCAATGGCTCCCAAACCAGGCTGTGCATCAGATTCACCCTCTGCAAAACACAGAAAGATGCTGGATCCTTAAAGTAGACCTGCTGAATCAACAGCTCTGGGGGTGGGGACTAGGCATTTGTATCTTTATTTTTTTTAAAGATTATTTATTTATTTATTTGAGAGAGAGAGAACATGAGTGGTGGGGGGCAGAGGGAGAGGGGAGGGGGAGAAGCAGGCTCCATGCTGGGCAGAGAGCCTGATGCGAGGCTTCATCCCAGGTCATGACCTGAGCCAAAGGCAGACACTTAAACCGACCGAGCCACTCAGGCATCCTGGCATTTGTATCTTTAAAAGATTGCACAGATCATTCCGGTTTGTGAAGGACTAAGCTGCCATATGATCTACCTTTGTCGGAGCTGCCTTTGTAAATACAGTCTGATACTCACCATCATCAAGAATCATGATCAGCTTGAGACAGGCTTACCTATTACTCTTGCATTGTTTTCTACATGGAATTTTGGAGACTCTGTATCTTCAGGCTCTCCGCTGTCCTGAGCATAAAAGGGGCTGTCTCCCTGCTTCAGTCCTCCAGGACTCTCCTCTTCACCCTCTAAGGTCAAGTTTTCCCTCCCTGCACCTCTTCCTGTCTTTCTGCTTTCACTGTGCCAATAGGGAAACTCAGCATATTTAACATGGGCAGTTGCCTTCAACCGCCCTGAACTGTCAGGCTTCCCTTCTGGCTGAGCCTATTCATGAAGCAGCTGCTCTGTTCTAGGTCTCCTTTCAGAGCTATGTAGTCTAGCTACGTGCACAGTAAATTATAGCTGGAGAATCAAGGAACAGACATTTTAGATTCTTCCTCTATGAAAGAATATATAAAGGAACAATGGCCAGACTCTATATAAAAACAGAAGAGTGACCCACAACACGCATCAGCCAGTTCAGGATGCCGATCTACTATATACAGCAACTAGTCCAGGAAGTCATATTATCATCTGTAGCAGCTAATCTAGGAAGCCAAACAATAATCCCCGCAGCAATCAGTCCCAAATAGTTAGGACTTAATTAACAACTGCCACTTCCCTGATTTTTGCCCCTGCTTCCAATTCAGGACCATCTGGAAAAAGCCAAGTATGCACCCTACACAATTACATGGAATGCCTCCCTGCTAGTTAGCCTGTCCGTAGCTTCTCCACGCCAACTGCCTCCAATAATGGCAGACCTGAAGCCTTGTCTTTTTTCCACTATCAAGCTCTTCCACTCCCCGCTTGCCTTTGGGTCTCCGTCAAATGCAAGCGATGGTGGCTGGCTCCCTTGCTTTGAATAAATAGCCTTTGCTTGTTCTCATTTGGGTGGTCTTCATTAATTTCCACAACTAGAAAAAAATGGGGCTGCATGTTTGAAATGGCTCACTGAATTGTTCTTTCATGGCTGAAACGAATGTACTTTAGAGAGGCTCTGAGATGTAGCAGAAAGAGCAGAGCAGTCAGCACTCGTGAACTTGAGGAAGTCATGGTCTGGAAGAGTAGTGTGGCTGTGGGTAAGGGCACAGGCAGTGGATCCAAACTGCCATGGTTCAAATCCCGGCTCTGCTACTCCTTAGCTGTGTCAATTTGGGCAAGTGTAAATTAATGTGTACTACAATTTCCTCATCTGTTAACACATTGGTGTTGATAATAGCACCTGCCTCACAGGGCAACTGTTAAGTGCTATATAAGACAACCCATGTGAAGTGTGAATTTCTGGATTTCAATGCCTAGAGAGAGAGAGAGAGAGAGAGAGAGAGAGAGGGAGAGAGAGGGAGCAGCAATACTGGGCTGGACTTCCTGAAAAGCAGCAGTGACATGGGACTGAGGACTAACTGTTCCTCTTAGATGGGACATATGCTCTTCCATTTTCAGTCTTCATTCTGTTTTACACATTTATGATAGCTACCTGGCCCCATTGACCACCTGTGGACTGGAATAAAAAGATTATTTTCTCATGAACATAGTAATTCTAGGAAACCAATGGGTGCTAAAACTGCCCATGTCATCCATTTCAAAAAGATCTGGTGTGGGAAGGATCTTATCCCTCAAATGCATATTCTATGTGTTCCATAAGTCAAAGAGTCAAGTATTCTTTTCTGACATTTTTACATAAGGGTCATACTTTAAAATTACAGAGCTTATAATATATAAACCATTTTCATTTTTTAATTTAAATTCAATTAATTAACATAGAATGTATTATTGGCTTCTGAGGTAGAGGTCAGTGACTCATCAGTCTTATATAATACCCAGTGCTCATTACATCACATTCCCTCCTTAATGTCCATCACCCAGTTACTCCATCCCCCACCTCCCTCGCCTCCAGCAACCCTCAGTTTGTTTCCTATGATTAAGAGTCTCTTTGGTTTGTCTCCCTCTCTGATTTCACCTTTATTTTTTCCTCTCTTTCCCTATGATCCTCTGTTTTGTTTCTTATATATACCTAGAAGCCCGATGCCACATTCCACAAAGTGTGACCATATTGTTCGTCAACAACAAAACTTTTTTTCTCATAGGTCTTCTGCTATTCTTGCTTAAAAAAAAAAGGCGATTTCAGAGAATTAAGGCTAAGTTGTTCTGACATGATTGTGTTTATTTTCAACTAACATTAAATGTGTCATCATGGAAGATCAAATCGAACAAAAGTGCCTGTACTTAACAAAACAAAGATATTTTTTCCTGAATTATTTCCAGTGGTCACACTCAAGACTTCCAAAAGGCAGTTGCTCAACTTCCCAATGACTGCTTAAAATGGTTTTAAAGCCAACTTTCTAGATTGAAATAAAAAGACATCATCTAGCATAAACCTTCATGCCACAAATTGGATAAGCAAGAAATATTTAAGAAAATTGGGAGCCACATTAATGACAGATAATATTTTACTTTTCACCTGAAATTTAACTAAGATCTTAGGGCACTTGGAAGTGCACTGAAAACACCAAAGGATAAAATTAAAGGCATAAATATGTTTTAATATGAAAATTATATTCTAGGGTAATTTTGCAATAAGAAGACATCACATAGGCGTTCTGATTTAAAATATTCTGAACCAAGTAAGGCACGTACAGTTGATAAACATTAGATGGTTTCACGAGGGTAGCTACTTTTCCCAAGCCTCCGCTCCCTTAATCTTGCACAAGTACCCAAAGTGTCTTTGAAAGAGAAGGGGGAGCTCATCTTCGGGTCTCAGGGAGTATCTGGGTACCTCCCAGGGCGAGGAAGGCACAGCTTCCCCATCGGAAGCCCCCGGGAGGCCGCGCTGTCCCCTTGGTCCCAGACCCGCAGAGTTACCCGGCAGCGAGCGCCGCAGGTCGGACTGAGCATGCGCACCGCGGCCCCGCCGCCCTCCCCGCGCCCGCTTCCGCCGCCGCCTCCGAGGGCCGCACTCACCCAGGCCGCGCCAGCCCAGCTCGCCGTCGCAGCTGTCCAGGACAGAGCAGAGCTCGCCCAGCAGCGCGGGCGGCAGGTCGAACAGGAGCGTGTGCGCCGTGAGTGCGCGGCGGGCCCCACAGCTCCGCGCCGCCCCCGTCCAGGCCATGGCTCGGCCGCCGGAGACCAGGGGCCAGTCGGAGGAGGGATGCGGAGCCCGGGCCTCGCCGCGCCCGTGAGGTGCGATTACACAACCGCGGAAATCCTGCTTCCACGACGGCGGCCAAGGCGGCCGAGAGCCCCACAAGGGGCGGGCCCCACATGACGCAAAGCGCCGCTCGGCAGCGATGCCCCTGCGGACGCCCGGCCTGGCAGCGGGGTCTCCCTGTCTCTGCGTGGCCCCTCTCACAGGCTTTACGTTTTGAACAGTTCTTTTAGTTGCTCTGGGTATGGGACGCGACTGCAGAGACAAAGCAGGGAGCGAGAGCTGGGCAAAGACCAGGAGGGCAGAACTAACGGAGGGGAGTCTACTACGCCTTCTGCCTGCCCTGGCATGGGCTGTCTCCTGGCCTGGATGGACAGGACACCTGCCATTACTTCTTTTAAAATGCATTTTGCTTTACCCTGCCAGAAAGCGATGTTTATTGAGGAACAGTTGGAAAACCCAGAAAAACTGAAAGAAAAAAATACTCAGCTGAAGACAACCATTCAAGAGGTTTGGCACCATCTTCCAACTTTTCCTGAAGTTGAACAGATAAATGTGCATATATGAGGGGATTGTTGGGAAAGAAAAAAAAAAAAACCAACAACAGGAAAACAAAAGAGAGAACAAAGCAAAAGAAAGTTGTGCTCATTTTCTTCATGAGGCTACCCATTCTCCATATTGCTACTTAGTTTTACTACACTCTTTTTTCCCTGGGCTTTCTTGACAAAACATTGTTCCACTACTTTTTCCTTCTTCAAAGTGTTTGACAGAATCGTTTGCTTTCAACATGGAGTTTAAATAAAACTGACTATTGTTTTTGAAATATTCTATCGTATATGCTGTAATATCCCAACACAGGCATGATACAAATGCTGATAAAAAAAAGGAGATGCTTTGAAAGTGGTGAGAAAAACCCAACCTTAATGACTGTAGAGTGGACAATTGCCATCAACCGAAGAATAGCAACCCTATTTGAAACCTTTCAGATTTGTACTCTTTGGCAATGGTGCCCCTTAGAGACCAACATTTGATGATACACTATCATTTTGTACCCCTACCCCTACCTGAATTTCCAGGTCGTTCTCAGCTAAAGTATACCACAAAATACACTTGAAAATTAATAAAGACAATACTTTTTGGGCAAAGGTTTCTATATCCCTTTGTTCAAATAGCTAAAATGTTATTGTCGATCTGAACATGCTTAAGAAGCCCTATACCTCTCAAAGGGATGACCTGAATATACTGAGCAACAGAGGCAGGATACAAGTATTTGCCAGATATTGAGTTGGTGAATTGGTAGAAAAGGGGATCCAAACTTCAACTCTCCTACGTAGAGGAACCAGAAATCACTGTCGCTGAGTCAAAGAGTCAACATGGCCTGCTTTTCCAGATCTTCTGATTTACAGAAAAGCAAGAATTGTATGTGAAAGCCAGATTATGTGAAATCTATACGGATTATGTGAAATGTCTTATATTTTCAATGTTGGCAGTTAGACCATACTCCCTCCCTATTCCTTAAAACTACCTTTGACTTTTGAATTTTAAACCATCTGGTTGTATCACTCACTGCTCTTCACTGTTGCTGTCTTCCACTGCCCTCCCCCATCTTAATTCTTCCCTCTCGGTTTTAGACTAGTTCCTGCTCACTGCAGTTTTCTCCAGCACTAATCCTACCTTAATCTTTGGTGATTTGAGAGATTTGTTGAGCAAATGATGACCTTTCCAATACCCTGTCCTCCCAGTTCTTTGACTCATCCTCTCTGCCAGTAATTGTACCTTCCACCCTATTTCAGCCAGTCTCTCCCATGATCATTCCCTAGAACTTGTCATTATCAATAACCACGCCTTCTGTAATTTCTATTTCATGAATCCACTCTCTAACCACACCTCCTGTCCTTCTAGGGCATTCCCTCTAGTACTCTGACCCCAACAATCCTTCCCCCTCATCAGGATACCAAATCGAAAATCTTGCCACCTCTTCTCTGGCCCCACCCTCTTGATGTCCTTACTTTTCTCTTTATCCATAAAGTCCACACCCAATTTTTACAGTCCCTCTCTTGCATATGCTTTCCATTCTCTTGCTCCTCTCTGGCTTTGTTGAGCTCTCTTAACAAATCTGCCATCCTGATTAGATGCAATTTTCTAATTTTGGGCTCTGTACCCGTGTACCAGAATGTAGCTGGGGGTGGGGTGGGGAATAAAAACCTGTTGATTGGACTCAATTTAAAATCAAAATTGTGACTTTCAAATGGGTCCTTTATACTGCCAGGCTGTCGCACTATGGGCCTTTATCCCATTTACTCTTCTGGTCCCCTTTACAACTGTTTTACGCCTTCTCTTTTCTCAACTCCCATTACCCTCTCCTCCATCCTTGCGCTCAGCTGATGATCTTGGGAGTATTTATTAAGAGTACTGATGTATCAGAAAAAAAACACAAAACGTCCACAGAATCTCAGCATCACCATCTATCTACCTACCAGCATCTTAACAGACATACCTGCCCTCCCTCCTTTTCCATAGGTCAATTGTGTAGGCTCCTATCTAAATCTGATCCCTTCACCTGGGCACTAGATCTGATCTCCTTCCTGCCTCCTACTCAAAGACATCAAGGGCAGTTGTTTTCACTCTCAGCTACATCATCAATTTCTCACTCTTTACCGTATCAATTCCATTGGCATACAAATATGTTATTTTTCCTACCTTAAAATGAACCAAAAAACAATTTGATGCCATCCCCCTCTTTTGATGCCACAATTACCCCCATTTCTTTGCTCCTTTTCATAGTAGAGTTGAATATTCTCACTGTCTCCCAACTTTTCTCCTGTTATCTTCTCTTAAACCAACTCTAGAGCCATCCCTCTACCTTACTCCACTGAAACGGCTCTCAGAGTCATCTATGTCCACATCATTGCTGAATATAACAGTCAATTTTCAGGTCTCATCTTATTTGACCCATCAGTAGTTTTTGACACAGGTGATCACCCCCCTCCTTCTTGGACACTTTCTTTGTCTTCCAAATTCTCTTACATTTTAGCTTACTTCACTGGTCCCTCTTCCGCCTCCCTTGCTGTCCCTTCTCTTCTCCCTTAATGTTGGGTTCAGTTCATAGTTCTACGTACATCCATTCCCTTGGTGATCTCAACCAGTTTCGAGGCTTTAAATACCATCCACCTACCAAGGACTGTCAAATGTATATGGTTAGCCCAGACCTTTCCCTTGAACTTCAGGCTCATGTCCAAAATTGAACCCTTGATGCTGAAACTGCCCTTCGACTTTCTTCCCCATCCAGCTCACTCTATCCTTCCAGTTGCTTGAAGCAAAAACTATAGAGTCAAGCCTGACTCTTCCATTTCTTCACAGCCCATGTTCAATCCATCAGCAAACCCTGTCGACTCTATTCAAAATATATTTAGAATCATACTTTTCTCCTCCTCCACTACTGCCACCCCAGTTTGAGCCGTCATCATATCTTGCCTGGTTTACTACAGTTGTCTTCTAACTAAAGTAGCTTCCACTGTCGCTTCCTATAGACTTTCCTCAACACTGCAGCCAGATTCATCCTTGTAAATCAAATCTGATTATGTCTCTCATTTGTTTAGAAGCCAACAATGGCTTCTAATTTCAGTCAGAGTAAAAGTCAAACTCTTTGTACGATCTGCATTCGCTCTCCCCCTCCCACTAGGCTGTTACCCTCTGATCTTGTTTCCTTGTTCATTCTGCATAACCACACTGCCTCCTTGCTGGTCCTTGAACACACCAGGCCGAGTCCCACATTAAAGCCTTTGCACTTGCTGTTCCCTTGCCTGGTATGCTCTTCCCATCTTGCTACAGTCTACATATTTGTAGACTTGCTACATATTTAAAATTGCAGTGGTCCATGCACACAGACTCAGGCCGGCACATGACTGGAACTGGCAATAATATATGGCTTGGGGGACCAAATCTCATTCAAATTTCTCCTTCTCTCTGAATCTAAATAGGAACGTGCAGCAGCTCTGGTCATCTCTGGAACAATTTTGCAACCACATGGATATAAATACTAGAATGAAATAAGCCTTGGGGATGTCTCGTGAGAGAGAAAACCAGATCCTTCATAATGGCATTAAGCAGCTCTTTTGTACTATACCTGGAGAATGTCCTGCTTGGGGACTTAGAATTGTATCACACAAATTCCTTACTAAGTCAGTTTTTAAACTAGGAATCTTGTAATTTGCAGCCAAATGCATCTTAATGGATACACCAAACAGACATTTGTTGATAGTTCCTGGTTTGTTGATGGCCTATAAAACTATGGGAAGGAAACTATAACCTCTGTCCAAAACTGGAGTTCAATTCTATACAGCTATATCCCTGGAATGTCAGATGGGCATGGAAACTGCACTGTAGAGAGAGACAGCTGGGTCCTCGGAGAAAATAAGTGTTAGTAGAGAATGGTTCTGGCAGCATGGTTGGAAGCAGTATGAAGTTCTAGATGCACATGAGACTGCACTAAAAGTCCATGCAGACCCAGACCTGCGCTGCACCCCACGCACCCACTCCCAGCATACATGCTTCTGGCAAAGACATGGCTGTGGTTAACCCTCAAACTCTTTCACTATGTTTTTTGCCGTGGGACGCTAACTCCACTCCCCTCCCACCCCTGCCCCAAATTTCAGATCCTAGAAAAAGAAAGTTTCCATTCCAGCTGGAGGCAAGAGAGTAATGAACTGCAGAGAACCACAAATGGAGATGCCGAGGGAACGCTGAAGGCTGTGGCACAGATGGCATAATGGCACAGATACACAGTATTATCAGGGACAAAGTCACAGGCATTAAAAGCCTAAGAAATAAAAAATCAGGTGAGTCAGGTAACAGCTCTTTGCATATAGGAAAAACTATCTTGGTGGCAGCTATTTATCCCGCATCCCTAAGGATGGATGCTCAAAGAACAACCAGCTGTGGGACGTAGATTTTCTGGTTTGGGAAATAATTTCCAAAACAAAGATCACTAACCTATCCCATCTTTGAGCCTTATCCTATCCCTGGGCCTTAGAAGGTTCTTGGTGCATTGGGGT